AATGTACCGATGTAAAGTTAACTAATAAATAGCCTTTGGCATTTCTTTACGAATATTGTTCAAAATCTTGGCCATCTTTAACTGCTGACCTTTGATGACTTGAGTCTCTGTCCGCCATTTGCTTTCCTTGGTGTCGTAATAGTTGTCCAGAACGTTCAGGGACCACGGTATGTTCTCCTTACGCAGCTCCTTAACAAAGAAACGGGCAAATTTTATGGCTTCTGTTTCTGTTATGCCTCCGTTTGCGTTATCGTGAGGCATCCAAGCACCAAGATAGGTCAGCAGACCAGTCTTCTTCGAAAAACTCGTTGCGTAGCTAATTGCTTCTTCGACATTTGCTTGGCCTCCAGATTTACCATCACCACTCCAATACTTTTGGGAATCCTTCTCTTTGTTTGGCCCTGAAGCATAAAGATGCCATTCAACCATCATATACCGATCATTTTTGTAAATTTCTGAATCGATTTTAGGTAAGTCCTTGGCAGTTTTTCCTGGTGACCCAAGAATGAGTATTCGCTTTCTGTTATTTCCACCCGTACCTCGAATCGCTTTTGTTACATTTTTTGTCCACTCGTTGTATTTGTCTGTTCTCCTGCGAAGACTTTTGTCACAACTTTTCCCTTCCTCTTTACAAGTGTCAATTCCAAGTTCTGTGAAGAGATTAAAACTCAGTCTGTAGTCCCTGTCCTTTAACTGGCGTGCCACAGCTGTCCACCAACCAACATAGGCGACACGATCCTTCTCTGTAGCGTAGGCTTCTGCGTGGTGGTGTATCCAGGAGATAATTGGAATCACATCGTGTTTCAGACAATGGTCGACAACGGTCGTCAGAGAGCCAAGAAACCGTTTGAATTCGACGGTGGAGAAGTCGTATGAGTACAGATCTGCCCTGCATCGAAGCCTTAAGTTACTAAAGCCTTTCTCGTGGACGTCTATGATGTTCTGTTCCGAGTATTTTTTCAGTGGCGGCTTCGATTTGAACCAATTTGTGGAAAATCCTCCTCGTATCTTAGCTTGGTACTCTTTCGGGGAAATCGGATTATTCACGTTCACTACTGCAAAAAAATTGAATCGACCGAGAGCATTAGATAGAATGTTATTGTATGTTCAGTATGCCTCAGAGTTCGTTCACCAAGCAAAACAACGATCCCCAATATTGATTTTTAATACAATACCTTGAGAAGACAAGAGATACACATCGAAACGTCGTTTAAAAAACAATTTCAATTTTTAAAAATACCCCAAACCAGACAAAAACACTCAATTTGCTTTAGAAATCTGGTCTCAAGCATCAGGGTGCGGAATCCGTCGGTATAAGGTTTGACTCCTTGAAGATTTGGAATATCTTTTTGTCGCACACTTGTGACACGACAGAAAAAAAACATTCTTTTAGACTAAAAATGTTCCAATGAGTTAACTGAATTTACCGGCATTTTCAATAATAACTGCGGCAAACAAACTAAGCTTGATTACTTTAGCATTTCAGAAATTATCGTGCATTAGCGCGACCTAGACATTTATCACTTACTTTGAAAATCAATTCGCTGATTCTCAATAAACCGGTCAAAAAGCGCGAACAACCGGCGAACAACCGGCGAAAAACCGGCGAGTGCGACCGAATCAATGAGCGCGGTGATACAAGGAATCCGAGCTGAAATCACGATGAAGCTCAAGAGAAAGTTTTGCCTGAACAATGAAGGAAAAAAAAATCATTACCATTAGGCTTTCTTCAATTTGGATAAGGAAAACGCAAGCTTTGTGGTAAGAAAAGAAGTGTGCCCCTATTCCTGTGAATTCGGCTGTCGTTCATTCATAAATGAATAATAATTTGAACAATTTGTTTTCTAATTGTCATGAAAAAAAGAGGAGTTTTTTATGAGCCACAATTCGACCGAATCTCAGTCAGTGCACATTTCACTTTTAGATTCAGTATTAAAACTAAAAACCTTTAGGAAAAAGTGTTAAATTTGACCTGCCGAACTATTTCAGTTTGTGAATTAT